ATTCTTTCGATTATATTGTAATGAAAGTTATTATTCCAAGGAATTTTCAGGTAAAATTACCATGTTCAAAATGGCGAATAAAAAATGTTAAAGATACGTATGATAAAAGAAACATTTATACAATTTTTCACCCAAATTCGTATACAGTGCTCCCAAAAAGGAATTTTATAATATCTGGTACATAAATTATTAACACTTTACCGACCGGTAACGGTTGATAAATCGGCTATCGGTCGGTAAGCGTTGGCCGGTAAAACAGTTGATTGATAGGCTCTCAGCCGGTAAGCGTTGGTCGGTAAAACAGTCGATTAATAGGCTATCGGTCGGTAAAGTGTTGAAATATAGAAATAACGCGCGTTGATTAAATATTAACGCCCAATTAATCCAATATGGAGTATTAAAATCATCGATGAAACGAGTGTAATGTAAACATTGGCGGTGAAATAATTGCCAAATTATTTAAATATAATTCTTACATGACTGATATGATATTATAAAACTGTTTCATAACCAATATAACTGGAATCAATATTGGCTGTGACCATTTTCACTCGTAACAGTTATTATATCGGTTCTTCGTAACCGTTTCGTTCGAAACCTTCTCGCAGCTATTTTTGGAACCTTTTCAACCCCTGCACACAAATCTAAATCTCTGAAACGAGTTGTTTGTTCCCGTACTCGCGGTGAAGTTTTCGTGGCTATGGTCGTTAATAAGTGTGTAATTGGATTTGTCATACAACGAAACATCCTGAAAAATCAAACAGTCCGGGCGCAAACGGGGAAAATTAAATTGCCCTGCATTTTGTAAAGCCAATTCGCGTCACCTCGTTTCCGCTCGATTTGCTTTCCATTTTCGCCTAATCTCTGCGTCGAACGCCCCTCGCGTACGATTTTCCACGGACCAAACAGGTTTCTTTTTTCCTCGTCGCAAATCAAGGAATTTGCCAACTGTGTCGGAGAAATTATGCAAACGATAGGTGTTAGGAACTTGGCAAGGTTTACGGATACGGTCTCTTGTGAATACCGCCATTTTTAATTGTTACAGCTAAACGAGGAGTCAGGGCCCTAAAAAATTATTACAAAATAACAGCAATCAGGAACTCGTACCAGAGCCCTGCTCCGTCGTTCTCAATAGCGATTGACGTATCATAAACCTTCCAACTAGTCGCGCGGTCCCCGGTTGAATACTGGGAAATATCCACTTCCGGGGGGTTCAGTTTGCACCGTGACTGGTGGGCGGCAACCTGGACCAGGCGGATTTCCAAAATCCAACCCCCCAACCGAGGACGTCGACCGATTGGTCACTTTCGTTACGTCTCATCGGCAATTTTAGTATACAGGGTGTTCGGCCACCTCTATCAAAAATTTTAATGAGCGATAGTGGAGGCCAAAATAAGACAAAAATCAAGAATACTAATTTGTTGGTGGAAGCTTCGTTAAAAAGTTATTAACGTTTAAAGTGCCGCTCTTACTGAATTTTTTTCTCGAAAATGCGCAAGATTTCGGGGGTATGTCTATTCACCAAAAACGACTGTAATCGAACCCTACAACCGAAAATAATTTTTCCACAACGATTTGCAGTTTTTTAATTTTCTCGAATAATTTCACACCTTCTCTATTTTTTTTCTCGAAACTGGGCAGGATTTCGTGGGTATGTCTAATGACAAAAACTGATTGTAATTGACCCCCGCAGCCGAAAATAATTTTTCCACAACGATTTGCAATTTTTTTTCTCCGTTGAAAAATTTAGGCACCTAATTGGATTTTCAGTTAAGGAATTTTTTTCTCGAAAGTGCGTACGATTTCGGAGGTATGTGTAATGATAAAAAATGATTGTAATTGATCCCCGCAACCGAAAATAATTTTTTTAAAACGATTTGAAAAATTTTTTTTCGCCGAAAAATTTCAGCACCTACTCGATTTTTTTTCTCGAAAGTAGATAGAATTTCGGAGGTATGTGTACTCACCAAAAATGATTGAAGTTGACCCCCGCAACCGAAAATAATTTTTCCAGAACGATTTGAAATTTTTGAATTTAATTGTTAATAAACTTTTTAACGAAGCTTCCATCAACAAATTAGTATTCTTGATTTTCGTCTTATTTTGGCCTCTACTATCGCTCATTAAAATTTTTGCTAGAGGTGGCCGTACACCCTGTATAAGAAGAGCATCAGAAGAGTTTTTGGACATTAGCGAGAAAATTATAGTTGGAAACGTCACTGTGTCTCTTGTTGAGATTAATAAACACCGGATACGAACCATTTGTTTCCTTCACCGAAGGTGGTCCTTCGAGTTTTGTACCTGGTCGGCACACCACGTGCAAACTTACAACATCCGAACGAGCAACACTCGACCACGGATAGAACAATAGAAAAGAAACGGGGAATGTTGTTGCACGCGACCGTGACCACCGTTGCGAGTTAAAACGATCACGGCTATAAACGACACACGATCGCCCAGAAATGTGAACGACGAGGATATTCGTGGCCGCAATCAGACATGCAAAGACGAATCTGTTATTCATAAAATTCCACCTCGAGTCTCGCGTGCGACCGAGTAACATGTTATCGCGCAACATTCTACGGCCTATGACGTGCACTACATACGTTATTTAGCGTTCAAGTTCACGGTCGATGCGACGATGGAACGCTTCAACAGAGATTGCGGATGTTTATGCATTTATGAGAAATATTAATTTTTTAAAAATTACAGAGTGAACTTAATGTGCGAAAATATGAGGAATATTTGAAGGAAGATACGAATTATTGTACGGGGTGTTTGGACACCTCTGGGAAAAATTTTAATGGCAGATTTTTTAGACCAAAATAAGACGAAATCAAGAATATCAATTTTTTTAACTGAGGCTTTGTTATGAAGTTATTAAAAAATTTCAAATCATTCTGAAAAAATTATTTTTGGTTGCAAGGGTCAATTACAATTATTTTTTATTAATAGACATAGTCCCGAAATCCTGCCCACTTTCGAGAAAAAATTTCGAGAATGTGATGAAATTTCGCGACAAAAAAAATTTTTCAAATCGTTCTAAAAAAATTATTTCCAGTTGCAGGGGTCGGTTACCATCATTTTTGGTCATTACACATACTCCCGAAATCCTACGCATTTTCGAGAAAAAAATTCGTGTATATGATGAGATTTCTCGACAAAAAAAATTTTTCAAATCCTTTTAAAAAAATTATTTTCAGTTTCAGAGGTCGATTATCATCGTTTTTGGTCATTATACCTACTCCCGAAATCGTATGCATTTTCGAGAAAAAAATTCGAATAATTGTGAAATTTCTCAAGGAAACAAATTTTTCAGCTCGTTCTAAAAAAATTATTTTCAGTTGCAGGGATCGATTACCATCATTTTTGGTCATTACACATGCCCACGAAATCCTACGCATTTTCGAGAAAAAAATTCATTACCAAAAATCTAATGCTTCCCTGTATGCGAATTTTTAAAATGTCATAACTTCTGAACTGATTGAAGGATTTTAATGTTTAAAAAGGCAAATAACGCGTATTTTGCTAAAAAATATGTAGAAATTCTAAAAATATACGAAAAGTTACTCCTTAACCTCGTAAATTGAGAAAAACCCCATAAAAATGATCCAATTTTCAAACAGCCAATACTTCTATAATAATGACTATATTTCAATGAAACTTAATTCTGATGTAGGACTCATTGGCACCTACAAAAAAGTATTAAACAACTTCCCTGTGCAGCGCCAGCCAAATTTATTAAAAATGGAAAACGAATTTCTAAGAAAGATAAATCTCAAATAACAAAATTTGAAATCGTCCTGAAAAAATTATTTTCGGTTGTAGGAGTTAATTACCATCATTTTTGGTCATTATACATACTCCCGAAATCCTACGCATTTTCGAGAAAAAAATTCCTTACCGAAAATCTAATTTGATGCCAAAAATGATTCCTTGAAACTTTAAAATTTCATAACTTCTGAACTGATTAAAGGATTTTAATGTTTAAAAAGGCAAATAACGCGTATTTTGCTAAAGAATATGTAGATATTCCAAAAATATACGAAAAGTAGCTCCTTAACCTCGTAAATTGAGTAAAACCCCATAAAAATGGTCCAATTTTCAAACAACCATATCTCCTATAATAGTGAATATATCTCACTGAAATTTTTGGAAGAAGTAGAGTTCATGGATACCTACAAAAAAGTGCTAAACAACTTTTCCGTAACGTGTCAAACAAATTTATTAAAAATGAAAAACAAATTTTTAAGAAAAATCGACATGGGGTGCCTGAATTTTTCGACGAAAAAAAAAAAATTTCAAATCTTTCTGGAAAAATTATTTTCAATTGCGGGGATTAATTACAATTATTTTTGGTGAATAAACATACCCTCGAAATCCTATCCAGTTTCGAGACAAAAATTCAAGAATGTGGACATACTTTTAGGAGAACAAAAAAATTTCATATCGATCTGAAAAAATTATGTTTGTTTGGAAGGATCAGTTACAATCATTTTTGGTCAATAGACATACGCCTGAAATCCTACTCATTTTCGAGAAAAAAATTCGAGTATGTGAAGGAATTTCTCGACAAAATTGAAAATTTTCAAATCGTTATAAAAAAATTATTTTTAGTTGCAAGGATCGATTACCATCAATTTTGGTCATTACACATACTCCCGAAATCTTACACACTTTCGAGAAAAAAATTCCTTACCGAAAATCTAATTTGATGCCAGAAATGATTCACGCGAATCTTTAAAATGTCTTAAATTCTGAAAGGATTAGGGGATTGTAATGTTTCAAACGGCAAACAACGCGTATTTTGCTAAAAAAATAGATAGAAATTCAAAAAGTATACAAAAAGTTGCTCCTTAACCTCGTAAAGTGAGAAAACCCCCATAAAAATGGTCCCAAATTATTGATTTGAAATAGAAAATATGCACTTTTGAGACGTGTCAACATTCCGCGGTAATTTGAAACATTAACGAACAATAATAAAAGTATGATGGACTCACCGTGAGGAGGTTTGGGCACATAGAGGTTCAAATATAGACAGTCTTCGCTCTGGTTGGCCAACATCGGCGCTAGCCTCTCGAGGTAGGCGCGCCTGGGCCTTGGCAGACTCGCATCCGGTTCCGGTGGTCTCTGTGGACACGCGGGTGGCATGGCGTCCGCCAATTTGGTGCCACGCCACGGCGTCGGCGTGACCGGTGGCATGTATCGTAACCCTCCGACCGGTGGCGTGGCGTACGGTACCCCGTAGTACGTCTCGACGGACGTGGACGACCTGGCCTCGACGCCGCGGAGAGTCCCGTACCTGGTCCTGACCGTCCTGGTGCTGTACTTCTGGCTGCCCGCGAGAGCCTCCGCCCCGCCAGGGCACCAATGCCCGCACAGAAGCCCAAGGAACACGACGATCGTCGCCAGACGCTTCTTCGAGCCGTCTGCTCTATTATCGCTACGTCGCTGAACAACCCCTCCCGTCCACTCCGCTGCCTCCCCGCCTCTCTTTCCCAAGCACCCTCGTTCGCTTCTTCCCAGGCAAAAGTCGCCCCCCTCCTCACAGACGTTGCACAACCTCTCGTTCTCCGAGCCACGGTTCGCCGATGAACGACCTTCGTGCTTCCCGGCGCTGGCGGCTTCCGGCGAAGGGCGACGCTCGTACCACGCGCCGCGTCGCTGGCCAGCATCGCGGAAGACAGATCGGCGGGAACTATTGCCCAAGGAAGGCAGACTTTCGATAGGGTCGAGAGGCGAGAGGTCTTTCCTCTTCCTCTTCCTCGGGGACGAGGAGGAGGACGTCCGCATCGCGTCACGCCGCCGCGGACTGGCCCCTCCGGGCCCCGCATCTGTGGGGCCCTCCTGCCAAGGGACGACCCTCTTCTGCCTCTTCTGCCCCCTCAGCGGCTGTGTCCTTTCCTTCCGCGGCGGATTTCACTTCCTTCGGAACCCCCTCCGACGTCTTCTCCTCCTTCTCTTCCTTCTTCCCCTCGGGACTCTCGTTCACGGTTCCCCCGGAACTCTTATCCGTTGGTTCCTCGTCAACCCTTCCCCGTCTCTCTGCCAATTTCCAATACTGTTCCTCTTCACGGGTCTCCACGCTGCTCGGCCCGCGTCGCTGCGTTTCTCTCCTCGCGATCCTCGAACGACTCGCCGTGAACTCGGAAAAACTCGCTGCTAGGGCGCTGATTGGCTGCGAGGCTCTCAGTTCCATCCTCGAGGACGTGCTGTGCCGGCAACGAGCCTCAACGTTGCCACGTAGCCCTCGTTCCCTGAACCTTTCGCACTCGTTGTCTGAGCGATCGACGACGAGCTCGGCTCGACGCGGGCGAGTAATTTTGAGGGAAGCATCGGCGACGAGTCTACGACGATACACGTCTCCACCCCTCGTGCGCGAACGGAGTCTCAAAATCTAAACTAACGCTGATTAGTTTTCTAGTTCGAAGAGGGAGCTTTGCTTCTTGTTTCCGGTGGCGTAGTTTCCACGATTGTTCTTCAAAATAATAAGATATTAATCAATTCCTTGACTTCACTTCTACGTTCCTAGTTCGTTTTCTAAGCAGTCTTCTTCTTGCGTTTCCTTTATTCACGATTTTCTGCAACAAAAATAAAGTCGATGGTTAGTCGCGACATCAAAATATGCAGGATGGTACGCTATTATTCTCAGTTGCAGGGATCGATTACCATCATTTTTGGTCATTACACATACTCCCGAAATCCTACGCACTTTCGAGAAAAAAATTCGAGTATGTGATGAAATATCTGGACGAAAAAAATTTTTTAAATCGTTCTAAAAAAATTATTTTCAGTTTCAGAGGTCGATTATCATCGTTTTTGGTCATTACACATACTCACGAAATCCTACGCATTTTCGAGAAAAAAATTTCTTACCGAAAATCTAATTTGTTGCCAGAAATGTTTCACGAGCATCTTTAAAATGTCATAACTTCTGAAAGAATTGGGGGATTGTAACGTTTAAAACGGCAAACAACGCGTATTTTGCTAAAGAATATGTAGAAATTCCAAAAATATACGAAAGGGTGATCCTTAACCTAGTAAATTGAGAAAACCCCCATAAAAATGATCCAATTTTCAAACGGCCATAACTCCTATAATAATGAATATATTTCAATGAAACTTATTTCTGATATAGGACTCATTGGCACCTACAAAAAAGTATTAAACAACTTCTCTGTGCAGCGCCAACCAAATTTATTAAAAATGGAAAACGAATTTCTAAGATAATTAAGATTAAAGATAAATCTCAAAAAACAAAATTTCAAATCGTTCTGAAAAAATTATTTTCGGTTGTAGGAGTCAATTACCATCATTTTTGGTCATTACACATACTCCCGAAATCCTACGCACTTTCGAGAAAAAAATTCGAGTATGTGATGAAATATCTGGACGAAAAAAATTTTTTAAATCGTTCTAAAAAAATTATTTTCAGTTTCAGAGGTCGATTATCATCGTTTTTGGTCATTACACATACTCACGAAATCCTACGCATTTTCGAGAAAAAAATTTCTTACCGAAAATCTAATTTGTTGCCAGAAATGTTTCACGAGCATCTTTAAAATGTCATAACTTCTGAAAGAATTGGGGGATTGTAACGTTTAAAACGGCAAACAACGCGTATTTTGCTAAAGAATATGTAGAAATTCCAAAAATATACGAAAGGGTGATCCTTAACCTAGTAAATTGAGAAAACCCCCATAAAAATGATCCAATTTTCAAACGGCCATAACTCCTATAATAATGAATATATTTCAATGAAACTTATTTCTGATATAGGACTCATTGGCACCTACAAAAAAGTATTAAACAACTTCTCTGTGCAGCGCCAACCAAATTTATTAAAAATGGAAAACGAATTTCTAAGATAATTAAGATTAAAGATAAATCTCAAAAAACAAAATTTCAAATCGTTCTGAAAAAATTATTTTCGGTTGTAGGAGTCAATTACCATCATTTTTGGTCATTACACATACTCCCGAAATCCTACGCACTTTCGAGAAAAAAATTCGAGTATGTGATGAAATTTCTGGACGAAAAAAATTTTTTAAATCGTTCTAAAAAAATTATTTTCAGTTTCAGAGGTCGATTATCATCGTTTTTGGTCATTACACATACTCACGAAATCCTACGCATTTTCGAGAAAAAAATTTCTTACCGAAAATCTAATTTGTTGCCAGAAATGTTTCACGAGCATCTTTAAAATGTCATAACTTCTGAAAGAATTGGGGGATTGTAATGTTTAAAACGGCAAACAACGCGTATTTTGCTAAAGAATATGTAGAAATTCCAAAAATATACGAAAAGTTGCTCCTTAACCTCGTAAATTGAGAAAACCCCCATAAAAATGATCCAATTTTCAAACGGCCATAACTCCTATAATAATGAATATATTTCAATGAAACTTATTTCTGATATAGGACTCATTGGCACCTACAAAAAAGTATTAAACAACTTCCCTGTGCAGCGCCAACCAAATTTATTAAAAATGGAAAACGAATTTCTAAGATAATTAAGATTAAAGATAAATCTCAAAAAACAAAATTTCAAATCGTTCTGGAAAAATTATTTTCGGTTGTAGGAGTCAATTACCATCATTTTTGGTCATTACACATACTCCCGAAATCCTACGCACTTTCGAGAAAAAAATTCGAGTATGTGATGAAATTTCTGGCCGAAAAAAATTTTTTAAATCGTTCTAAAAAAATTATTTTCAGTTTCAGAGGTCGATTATCATCGTTTTTGGTCATTACACATACTCACGAAATCCTACGCATTTTCGAGAAAAAAATTTCTTACCGAAAATCTAATTTGTTGCCAGAAATGTTTCACGAGCATCTTTAAAATGTCATAACTTCTGAAAGAATTGGGGGATTGTAATGTTTAAAACGGCAAACAACGCGTATTTTGCTAAAGAATATGTAGAAATTCCAAAAATATACGAAAAGTTGCTCCTTAACCTCGTAAATTGAGAAAACCCCCATAAAAATGATCCAATTTTCAACCGGCCATAACTCCTATAATAATGAATATATTTCAATGAAACTTATTTCTGATATAGGACTCATTGGCACCTACAAAAAAGTATTAAACAACTTCCCTGTGCAGCGCCAACCAAATTTATTAAAAATGGAAAACGAATTTCTAAGATAATTAAGATTAAAGATAAATCTCAAAAAACAAAATTTCAAATCGTTCTGAAAAAATTATTTTCGGTTGTAGGAGTCAATTACCATCATTTTTGGTCATTACACATACTCCCGAAATCCTACGCACTTTCGAGAAAAAAATTCGAGTATGTGATGAAATTTCTGGACGAAAAAAATTTTTTAAATCGTTCTAAAAAAATTATTTTCAGTTTCAGGAGTCGATTATCATCGTTTTTGGTCATTACACATACTCACGAAATCTTACGCATTTTCAAGAAAAAAATTCGAGTATGTGATGAAATTTCTCGATTTTTTCGCTATTGTTACTCGTAACAAAAAATGTTTCAGCGGAGGCTTGAATGGTATCGAGTGGAGCATATTCTTATGTTATTAGTTTTTTTAAATGGAATTAGGTATTTTTTAATACATCGATCGATTCAGCTGGACAATCGTTATAAAGAAGTACTATGTAACGTCGAAAAATTAGTAGTTCAGGAGATATTTCAATTAAAATTATTTAAATTCTTAACACTTTACCGACCGATATTAATCGACTGTTTTACCGGCCAACGCTTACCGACCGATAGCCTATTAATCAACTGTTTTATCGGTCGATAAAGTGTTAAGGCATCATTACTACCACACTAAGACGTTAGCTCAGTTTACCAACGTTAGACTAGCAAAAACAGTACAACTGCAATGGTGTTTTAGAATTATTTAAATTTAAATATCTCCTGAACTACTAATTTTTCGACGTTACATAGTACTTTTTTATAACGTACAACTTTTTTATAAAATGTATAAATTTTTCAATATTATTGCTAGGAAATTTCCTCGTACACAACATTTGTTCCAATACGATCAATTCTTCTGTTTAATTTGCGCGCAGGCAAATAAATTTATCGCAGTTCGGAGCAAAATATTATTCCGCCACGATCGAATTGTTATGTTCCATAATATAAAATTAAGTCACGAAGGTAGAAGGAAAACATGAATTCCTTTTTGGTGGTAAAAGCAATTTTGGAAAATGTAATTTCACTCGTCGACATTTCAGTCTATTTTAAAGGTCTGCTTTGAGATATTATATCAAAAATTTTTAAAATGTGGAAAATCCACATAGGTGTAATGTGTTCCCTAAATTCACTTTTTCACGTTTAAAAAATGTCTACGATGCCCTGAAACCTTTAATATAAGCTAAAATAAAATAAAACATCGACGAATAAATCTACGTTTTTCGAAATTACTCTTACTCTCGAAAAGAAGTTTTTACATGTTATACAGGGTGTTCGGCCACCTCTAGCAAAAATTTTAATGAGCGATAGTAGAGGCCAAAATAAGACGAAAATCAAGAATACCAATTTGTTGATGGAAGCTTCGTTAAAAAGTTATTAACGTTTAAAGTGCCGCCCTTACTGCATTTTTTTCTCGAAAATGCGCAAGATTTCGGGGGTATGTCTATTCACCAAAAATGACTGTAATTGAACCCTACAACCGAAAATAATTTTTCCACAACGATTTGCAATTTTTTTTCTCCGTTGAAAAATTTAGGCACCTAATTGGATTTTCAGTAAGGAATTTTTTTCTCGAAAGTGCGTACGATTTCGGAGGTATGTGCAATGATAAAAAATGATTGTAATTGATCCCCGCAACCGAAAATAATTTTTTTAGAACGATTTGAAAAATTTTTTTTCGCCGAAAAATTTCAGCACCTACTCGATTTTTTTTCTCGAAAGTAGATAGGATTTCGGAGGTATGTGTACTCACCAAAAATGATTGTAGTTGACCCCCGCAACCGAAAATAATTTTTCCAGAACGATTTGAAATTTTTGAATTTAATTGTTAATAACTTTTTAACGAAGCTTCCATCAACAAATTAGTATTCTTGATTTTCGTCTTATTTTGGCCTCTACTATCGCTCATTAAAATTTTTGCTAGAGGTGGCCGAACACCCTGTATAATATTATAGTTGTTCAATGTTGTCAGTCTTTGCAAACTTCGTGTATTTGATGAGGAAAAAACGATTCTTCGTGCAAGTAGTATTGGTCAGACATAGTCAGCCTTCGTGAGGTAAAACTGTCCACATTCTACTTATTATACTCATAGTACAACATTTCCTTAACTAATTATCTACTAGAAATTTAAACAAAATAATGATAGTTACTAGATTCTTTCGACAATCAGTACGTTTCAGGAAAAAGATTAAATATACCAGAAATAATTTACCAAAGAAATTGAAACCGAAGAGAAACGAATAGATAGAAAATTGTCAGGTATATAAACTGTTGATTATTAATAATTTCAGTGTTTCGAATCGCTTGTATTCACTACGGATCAAATGAGTTGCGCGTTGAAAATTAATTTACGTGAAAACAAAGTCTGACTCCACGAGAAAATAATGAACTAATAACTTTAATATGGACAACATCACCAAA